CTATTTCAGTGTTATCGTCTTAAAGAAATCAATTATAAACAGGAATACTTCCGGGGATAGTTGTCCTAGGGGTAGTTGTCAGGGGGGAATTGTCCGGGGGAAGTAGTTCGGGGTTAGTGGTCCTAGAGGGTAGTTGTCCTGGGGGTAAGTTGTCCTGGGGGTAAGTTGTCCTGGGGGTAAGTTGTCCGGCAGGATAGTTTTCCGGGGAAAGTTGTCCTAGGGGTAGTTGTACGGGGGACAGTTGTCCTGGGGATAAATTGTTTGGGAGGATAGTTGTCCGGGGATTGTTGTCCTAGGGGGTAGTTGTCCGGGGAGAATGGTCTAGGGGTAAGTTGTCGGGAGATGGTTGTCCGAGGGGACAATTGTCCTGGGGGTTAGTTGTCCGAGGGAGGGATAGTTGTCCTAGGGGGTAGTTATCATGGGGGACAACTGTCCGGAATTGAATCACCGTAGTGGACGTTGAACGTGCTGCAATTCCAACAACCTTGAGACAATTTCTGATAAATGTAAAACTGCAAATTTGCCATTAAAGAAATGCGATGTTAATAATGATAAAGGGAAACGTTCAGCCTCCTAATCAGTTATGACGGCATGTTACGAAATTTGTCCCAATGCCCCTTCAGAAGGCAAATGGGGGTCAGGATCCATCTCAAGAGAAAATTAGGCTATTCGAATATTTTCGGTTTTCTTTGCCAAAATTTGATATTCGATTTGGCAACAAAGTGGCGTTTTTTTAATTGTCACGATATTTCTCGCTATGCCCCATCAGAAGAGAAACGGTTGCCAGGATCCATGTAATGGCATGTATGGACATTCACTGTGAGGAAATTAGCCTATTCGAATATTTTCACTTTTTTCACAAAAATGCTGCACTTGCTATTTTGGGCAAAAAGTGGTATTTTGCGAATTTTTACAAGATTTGCCCTTAAAACCCATTCAAATGCAAACGGGGGCCAGGATCCATCTCATGACACGTAGGGACATTCATTGTCAGAAAATTAGGCTTTTCGAATATTTTCGCTTTTTTTCACAAAAAGGCAAATGGGGTCAGAATCCATGTTATGGCATGTAGGGACATTCATTGTGAGGAAATTAGCCTATTCAAATATTTTCATTTTTTCCGCCAAAATGCTGAACTAACCCATTGCCAATGCTGCTGGGAGGAAGTGATGATGATTTCACGTATAGCAGTGGACCTTTAAATTGTGTTCAGTGGGCAGAGAATCTCAACTCCATCAGTCAACAAAACGGTGGGTGCACTTGTAGCACGCTGAACTATATACTACCTATATTGCAAAGCCCCCCCCCCCCCACCCCCTCCCCCTTGGGAGGGCGATTTCTACACTTGCGGCACAGAGACCTTCCACTGCTCTTGCAAAATATCCCCTCTCCCACAGGAGGGTGATTTTATTTCTGTTTCCATAATAGCTCCTCAATTAAGTCACGTTTAATATTGTATCTAAATGGCGAAGTCCCCATTTAGCGGGTGAGGGGGGAGGGCAGGAATCTGCGGCGGATTTGGGGGGCATAATTTGTCAATGTTCACCCCCCTCCCTTTAAATGCAATTCGCATACCTTTATTACACAAGTACTCATGAGAAAATACACACCTCAACTGTATTATATTTAAAATTTGCCCTTCCCTTTCAAAAATATTACACCGTTTTTACTTTTTAGCTATCAAAAAAATTACGCTGGAGCACCTTTAACGTTAAGTTTGATGAAGAAAAAAACCCTGTAACAGGGAAAAAAAGAGATTTTTAAAACGAACTACAGAGTGCCGAGATGGATAGAAGGAAGGGTTGAATCAAAAATGATAAAAGAAAGGGAGAAAAAATGCCAACTAGTGTGTGAGAGGGGGAGTGGGGGGAGGGGTATGCCCCTTGTAACCAGGGGCGGCGATTTCTTTTCATGACCGGGGGGGGGGGACGAAATGCGAGGAAAAATTTGTATTCCGTTGGTATCATCAATGAGCATTATTTTTTTTGGAGGGGGGGGGGACAAAAGAAAACAAAATCCGCTTCACCACCACTCTTACTCGTTACATGCAGGCCCCGCGGAACGTTTTTTCAAAGTGGGAGGGGGGGGGCTAAAGTATTTACGATCACGTAGAGTGTAGCGTAAATTTGCGTGGGCTCTAGGGGCAAAGCCCTGGCGGAGGTCAAGGGCGGAGCCCCCGAAAGCTGGAGGTTTTGGGGCAGTTAATTACAGTCAGATGAACATATTTTGATACCTTATTTGTGACACTGAAAGGACAATAATTGGCGTGGGATCCAGGGTGTGGAGCGGAGCCCCAAAAATTTCAAGGGTTTAGGCATTAAATTACGGTCAGATGAGCATCCAGGGGCCCGTCATATGGCCCCTGGAGGGGTCCAGGGGACAAAGCCCCCGCAAGCTCAGATGTTTTAGGCCTTTAATTAAGGTCGCGAATGAGCATATTTTGAAACCTTATTTGTGACACTGACAGGCCACTATTCTTTCTTTCTTTCTTTCTATTTATCTTTGATATAATTTTTCCAAAAAGTGGGGGAGGGGGGCTCGGGCCCCCTAACATTCCGTTTCTTGGGCCCTGACAGGTAGGCTTCTTAATAAGCATATGTTTTGCCTGTAAATTTGGGAATTGTTCATTGTCGAACAAACGCAAAAAAAAAACGTATAATTTACACAAAAGTGAGGAAACATCACGAAAAATCATGTCATTTCAGCAACATTTGTAAATCACGGGTATCGAATTAGAAAAAAAAAATTTTAGTTTTATTTCGGGGGAGGCAAATGCCCCTCCCCCCCCCCCCCCCCCCCCCCATCAGAACGCTAGTGGGTATCACGGTGATACCAACGAAATACAGATTTTCTACAATATTTACTTGTACATTCTAAAGGATATTATTTGCATTTTTATTAGTCTAAACGCTGCACTCTTGGGCCCTCCGGAGCCTGAACGTGTGTTTCAGTCTGTAGTTAGTATTCGCTATACATTTTCTTTATACACTTTTTCAAATTTCAGGGGGGGGGACGATCCCCCCCCCCCTGAAAAAATTGAGGGGGGGGGACGTGTCCCCCCCCCCCCGGATCGCCGCCCCTGCTTGTAACGATATGCCTGGAGCTGTTTAGAATATGCCGCTGTGCCAATCCTTCCCCCTCTCTCTCTCTCTTATAATCATTAGTCGTTGTTTTTAATCAATTCGGATTCGCTCCTGACTCTTCAGTCATGGGCACCTCGGCATGCAAACAAGACCAATAAGATAGGATCACTCTTCCCCGTCCGAGTATGACACTACTCTCTTGGAAACCCGACAACCGGGAAATCAAGAATGCCTGGCATTTTGGGATCCTGAAAGTTTCATGCAAATTCGTTGCGAGAAGTTTCACGTATCGGTTTACATGAATAAAAGATATCAATACTGTTTGCATCCGCCGCTCTTTTCATACCCCTCTGTGTTTGTGCAAACAAAATTGAGGCAATAATCGGTGGGTGATATCCGGATGGGATTTTGAGAGATGCAATTTGTAAGTGGGCTGTTGAGTACCCACTGGTCCTCTCAACAGGTGTATGGTGGGTGGTACTAGAACACAATTGCTTGTCCCTTGTTCTCAAACAGCATCGAGGGACCATAAGATTAAAAATAGCAATAATGTTATCCTTCCTTTTCAATCACGTCTGCTCAAAAGATGTGTTCGGGTTCGATCGATATTATTCTTGCCATTATTGAATGTTTCATACAACTATTTTTGGAGCCGTGTTATAAAGAATACTGATAGAAAAATCTCTCATTATAACAAGGGCAATTTTGCCGGTCTTACTTCTTTGTTTTTATTCGTCCATTTATTAATTTATGTATCAATTAATTAATTGGTTTATTAATTAGTTATTTCTTATTTTGTTATTGATGTATTTGAATGTTTAGTTGTTAATTTTCTTGCATTTGTTTATATATTTCTTTATGCATGTGTGTCTGTGTGTATGTGTGTTCGTTTTTGTATCGCTGATTCAACGCGATTTTGTAATGGAAAAGTAATTTCTCTGATCCGAACAAGTATGAATCTATTATATACCCAGGCTGTTTTTTGTTGTTGTTGTATATACATGTATGTTATTATTTTGAAGGACATGACCTCTACAAGCTAAGCTTTAATTAGGTCTCCTCGACTTTTCTTCTCACTTAAATGCATTAGATGAACTTGAACCTTATGGCCCGAATTCACAAAGGAGGTTTGTCGACAAACCGAGGTTTTCGTACGTCATATGACGCGTTTTACGCGTTTTTTACAAACCTGGTTTGTAAAGAACAAAAGGAGGTTTGGCGAAATAAAAGGAGGTTTGAGCTCAAACCTTGGTCTGAGCTCAAACCTTGCTTTGTGAATTCGGGCCTTTAAGTGTTCCTTTTATATACTCTACATGTTATAAATTTGTTAAATTGTATTACATTCATGTTGGAAGAAAGACAGATAAACTTGAACTTGAACTTTAACTTGATACAACATAAACATTCCCATATGGATGGTGGGACAGAAATTGTCAATGTAGACATACAATGTACTCACTCACTCACTCAATCATCCATGCAAGTAATCAATCAATCAATCACCCACGCAACCAACCAACCAACCAATCAATCAATCAATCAAGCAGGTAAGCAATCAATCAAACAATCATTCAAGCCATCGATCTTTCGTTCATCCAAATCCCTCCTCCATGCACTCTTCCGCTATACAGTGCGTCCCAGAAAAAAATGAAAAACGAATTTAAACAAAATTCGAGTTATATCAATGTAATTCCTCGCTTGCCATAAGACAACCAATTGACTATATATATATATATATATATATATATATATATATATATATATATATATATACAGCTCATAGTTTCTTCACAAGTTGACAGTAACCATTCTTATATTTATTTATTTTTTGGCGGGGGGGGGGCGCACTGTACAAATAAACAGGTACTCTAGATCCTCATACTAAATACTGATGCACATACACATAGACACACCGTATGTAGTAGATAGGAATAATCTCTGTATTTGTTTTAATGAGAAATTAATGTTACCTGAACAATACCTACCTGATATTTATATAATTCAAATAAACGAATGCATGCATAATCTCGATGCACATGACAAATTAAAACACAAATGAAGTTAATTTAGATATTGAAATAAAGTATGACATGCATCCTAGTAGTTGACAAGAATAAATAAAAACGAAATTCATGGCACCTTTCTCTCTACCAAAGAGTTTAAAACAAATGAAAAGAAATAAAAATTGGATATTTTAAAAAGTCAAAGCAACAGTTGTTTACAATTTGGTAAGCTGTCACTATAAGGGAAACAAATTGTATGGTTGACTATCCTAGCTTTTCAGAATGAGTAAAATTCAGAGTTTCAGACAGGTTAACAAAAAAGTATACAGAACATAGTATTGAATTAGAAATTTTGCATGTTCATGTACTTCTTTCATGAAAATGGAACATTAGAACTTGTATAATACAGAAAAATACAAAATGTCAGTTTATTGGAATGAAGTGGCAACTTTTGGTTGGTAGATGATATAATATCAATGTACATGTAATACAATGTTGCAACAATTGAAAAGGGCAGATAATTCGATATCCCCTTTATTTTAAATTGAAGACATGATATAATACATATTTTGAACGATGATGCAAAATATTTTAGATAATCTTTGCATTGAAAAAAACAAACACCATGTTTTATTACTACACACTCCCATGCTGTATGTATTATTGTTCAAATGAAATACTGCTAAATAACCTACTCCTGTGGATATTAAAGGTATTAAATAATGACATTTACTTTTTCAGCATTCTCTGCAGGAAAGGGAGGGGAGGGGGGCGGGGACCAAATGCAGTGAGTAAAATTGTGAATCCTCTGGTCTCAGTCTGCTTGAAAAGGCATGTAAATGTATCAGGCAAACAGATCATTTTAAATGTTAAAAGAAAAATTCTGCTTTTCTTGAGAAATGCAGAAATGACCTTCAATATAATTCATTTTCTAGGGGGAGTATTGCACCCCCTGTTCTTGTTCTTAATGTTATAGATAATGTCAAAGGGTACTTTGTGGCAGCCCCTGAAATTTTTGTGAGTATCTATAAGTACTCTCCAACTTTATTAATACGTCAATGAGTATCCCTTGTGGAAGAGTTTGATAACGACTCTTGATATGTTTTACAATAATTCTATACTGGAAGGACTGGAAGGAGGAAAAGAATGAAGGAGTTAAGTTGCATATTCCATGAGGATCCTATATTTATGATGTCTCCGTTCTTTATATAGTAATCTGAAAATCTCAATTGGAAGGAACCTTCCCAAATAGAAAAAAAAAAAAAGAAAAGAAAAGAAAAAATCTGTACACATACAAATCTATTACTACAAAACAGGCATAAAGTTACAGTCCAATAAAGAGTTTGTTTTCAAAGGCAACAAAGTCATTTTGCTAATGAGTGACAAAGTGGCTCTAAGAATAGCTCTTCCAGACAAATTAGCACAAATGATTCAAAGCACGTCTAATAGAACTGAAAAAAATGTCAAAAATAGCGTAGACGTATGTACTGGTACGTGTACATTTAATTTGTGTATTCTTTGAAGTGTATAATGTGAAACCAAAATGGAATAGATCATCCCTTAGTGTGATATTCCCAAACTGCACTCATGCAATAAAATGACTTGTGCTCTAGAAAAAGCAAAGTGAATATAAACATGAAAATAGATTTCATACACATCTTGGGACTACATTGTGGGAGAATGTTCAATGTTAAAAAAGGCCAACATCTAGACACTTTTATACTCGACACTGAATGAACACGGACATTAGGACAGTTGACTGTTTTTGCAGAATACATTTTCTAACTGAGACAAATGTTCATCCACAGATTTTGAGTTGCATTCCATTTCAACATCAGGTGGGGGGGGGGGGGGGGTAGTAAGTCTTATTCAATTAATCAAATACATGCTATCTCTTGTTTATTTTGAGATCCTCATAAAATACTTTTCTATAAAGTCTTCTTCCCATTTTACCAAATGATCATCTATGCATTTAATGACTTTGAAATTAAAGGGCAATTTTGGATTAAAATTTAAAAACATAATTTTCAAATAAAAACAAAATTCATGTAAAATGTAGTTGTAGAGAATCACTTAACAGCACTATCTTCTGATGAAGTATTCTTGTCCAGCCTTGGTGCAGTATTGTAGCATGTTCTTCATGAAAGGCAGCCATTGCTAGAATTCGGTCTTAAGTTCACCAAACAGTCTGATTCCTGATGGCTTCTACATCAAGACAATGTTCCGCAATCCGCATCATACTTTCTCCATCTCACTAAAACAGGGGTGAGTTCTTTACATCTTCATCCGATTCAGAGTCTTCAATATTGATCAAGAAAAGTCTTTTCCATATATAGCATGGCATCCTGCATTAAGTAGCTTTGGTGGTCTTGCTTTTGCTCTTGGCCGATCTTTTATCTCTTTTCTTCAACCCGTCCATGTTGCCTTTCATTACGTTTGCGTAAGCCTGGGATTCAAAGGATAACAATAAGACGGTGACCGGTAATGTGTTGCCATTTTCATTTTAAAGGTAATTCACAGTATAGATAAGTGAAGGGGTGCATTTAGATTCCCTTAAATTTGTACTTTGTCAATGCATCACCTTCATATAAGAGAGTACTTATAGAACAGACCCAACCAAACTTGCACTGAAATGCTTGTATTTCATAAAATCACACATCTAAGCTTTGATTTCATTGAATACACTTTATCAGCCCCCCCCCCCCCCCTGCAGGATTAATGCTAGTTGGCTTGATGAAATCATTGATTTGGATTTTCTTCAAACAGACTTTCATACTACTTGAAAAACAGAAAAGAAAAGCAAGTGGGACACCATGAACCTCAGCTACAAAAGCAATCCCCTGAATGTACATAGTGCTCAAGGACATCGTAGCTTTAAACTTAAATTACCAAATCTCATGGGTAGTGCCTTAGACAAGTAATTGCCTGGTGGTGAGGGAACAGCAAAGCAATACTGTAATCTAAATATCAGTGTTTAAATTTAACCTAAATATAATTGGACACCTATTTATACACTAAAGTCCTCCAGCGTCTCTATGTTTACCTGTTGCGACATCTATGAAAACAGGTAAGCAATAAATCTTAAGCTCTCAATCAACTCTAAAGGGGTTCGAGAGGTCAGGGGCAGCCCCGAGCGTCTCCTGTTTATAGCTGCATCCCTCTAGGGCTACCCAGTCCCCATCTTCTTTAAATTCACCCAGACCATCTTCAATTAATTTTTGTTGGCCCGAGGCTGGGGCAACATGATAAAAAACGCATGTTTCCCCGTTGCCTAATGATGCATCAAACTGTCACTGCCAACTTGATTAGCCTCTTAATATAAGTCAACATGCTGGCGACTACATACATGGCTGGTCAATGAGTGGAAAATAACATTGTCGAGTGTTTGCTTTGATTTGGCAGAGAAGGTAATTCAGTAATGAGAAGATTGATCACATTGTCTCCTTTCTTGAGTCAACATGATTATCCCTCAATTTTTTTTTTGTTCTCGACTCGTGAGTGAGGATGTTTGTGAATGATTAATAGAGGGAGCTCTTCAAACTCTCTTGGCAAGAAACTTTGATGTGAACAAATTTAATCTGCAATCATTGTGTACATTAATGTGCAATGCACAAATTGGAATGATCAAGAGGTCAATTTTGTTAATAAGCTTTGTTAGAAGTAATGATAGCATGCCTGACAAAGCATATTTGTATTAATTCACATCAAGATCAACACATTTATGATTTTTCTCTTATGAACTAGTTCCTAAGGGCTGTCCTCGAGATGAGTTTCTTGAAATGAAAAAAAAAAATCCTTTCAGCAATGAAATGTAGAAAAATCTAATTTGAGTCATTTTGTGTGTAAGTGCATATATATATATATATATATATATATATATATATATATATATACTGTGATTGACTACCGTATAAAGGTTACAGTAGATATTAGTACTAATCAAAAATCCCAAATTTAATTTCCAAATCCATGGTGTTCAAAACTTTTAAAAATTCATACATTTCTTACCATTTGTCTGATTTAATTGAAACTCCAAACAATCTGCCTCTTTCAATGCTTTCCTTCAAAGCAACTTGCCATTTAGGTAAATGTTGGCCTTTTGTAGGGTCATGTGGGATTTCCCAGTAAACAAAGCATTTTGCAAATAATTGATACTTTGTGAAACAAAATTCATTTAGAAATACAAGGTAAATAATCTGAATGGGGCTACTCACCATCTGGAATTTTGTTACATCTTTTGTACTTATCTGCAAATGAAATAAAAGTAAAATATTGTATTAAATAAAATACATTTTCATTGATTCTCACTCAATCATTTCAATTATAGTCTTTCAAGTAAATTATAAGGGTAAGGGAGAGGAAGTTGCTTTGGGGGACAGTTGTCCTGGAATCTCTATCACAGTTTCTAATGGAATGTCTTGTACACAGATTACCTATTCCCCCCCCCCCCCCCAAATTCACTCCAAGGGAATCTCAACTGTATACATATAGGTGTAGATGTAGAGAGCAACCCAAGTCACTACACCCTGTCTGATCAATGAGGGAGCTCTTCTGCTTCACATATGCTACCACATTTAATGCCTTCACATGCAATCAATCATCAAAAGGGAGACATGAAATGCAACTTATAAGCAGGTACAACAGTGAAATTTATTCAATCAAATTGATACAAATGATTTTAATTATGAATGGGTAGAGAAGAAATGCAATCACAAGTCAGTAAAAAAAACTATACTGAAGATAAAAGTAAAGGGAAGCTAAAGCAAAGAGCCAGACCTTTCACAAGATTTAAGACTATTGGAAGAATGTGGTCCAGAATCTTGATAAATACTGGTGCTACACATGAGAAGTACATATAAAAGTAGTAGCTATTTTATTTTGTGTATATTACTTACCACAAATCACTAGTGACATGACTTGCAAACCAATGACTGGCACAACTCTGTTTTCTGGTTTGAAGTTGGGCATATAAAAATAACATCTATACATTATATAATCTCTCCCTAACTTTCAATTTGATTGCATCCCTGTTTAAAGCCCCAGTCCCATATAAAGCCGGACCAGCACGGACGAGCACGGACCACTCCGGACCATCCTGGACCATGGTCTGGGGTGATCCGGGATGGTCCGGGATGTTTTGTTCAAAAAAGTGTGATGCTTTTAAGCTACAGTCCCATATACGTCCCGGACCGTCCCGGACCATCCCGGACCCCATCCGGGGTGATCCGGGATTCGGTCCGTGTTGACACCGTGTTGGCACCGGGGTGGTCCTGGATGGTCCTGGATGGTCCTGGGCGGTCAATAACTCACTCCCGGACTGCCACGGATCAACACGGACCGCCCCGGCGCCACTACGGATGACCCCGGACCCAGCACGGTGGCTACACGGATCACCCCGGATCAAACTATTGTCCCGGACCGTCCCGGACCACCCCGGCAGTTTTTGACCGTCAAAAACATCCGGGGTCGACTCCCGGACCGCCCAGGACCATCCAGGACCATCCAGGACCATCCAGGACCATCCAGGACCACCCCGGTGCCAACACGGTGTCAACACGGACCGAATCCCGGATCACCCCGGATGGGGTCCGGGATGGTCCGGGACGGTCCGGGACGTATATGGGACTGTAGCTTAAAACTCTTAATGTAGTTTCAACAATTTACAAGTAAAGTCCAATCTTTTATCTCCACACCTAAACTCAACTTTAAATTGTAATGAACTTACCACTGTAGAAATTTTCTTCTTGCCATTGGTTGCTCTAAACAGACATTTATGTTCTGACTGGTCGGACACTGATAATCTTTCACCTTTGGCTGCCTTTGGCTTGGGTTTATTTTGGCCATAATCTGTATATTTGCAAACAAAACACAAAGTAATGAAAAGATTTTCCAACAAAATACCATTATCAAAGAGCAGACATTTTTCAAATAGATATGGTACTAAATCTGTCCGTAACTGGACAAAGTAACATTTCATGCCAAGCTGCTTGAATCATATGGAATTTATTTGTAACAAAACACACTCAAACATTTGACAGCATGATGCTAATTTATACTATCTAATTTTAAAGATTTAAAATTGAAATGAAAAGGTTAGGGATGGGAAATTACTCCTTTACGTTAGAAGTAACAAGTATCAAGAATTCTTGATATCCAAAATTCCCTTAATTTTCATTATTAAACTTTGATGACTTTCCTTCAAACATTCAGCAACAATTTTCTTACATTTTAAGACAGATTGATAGACAATCCAAGAATTCTCAAATCTTAATACAACATGTAAATACATACATGTATATGTCAACATGCCATTGAATACCAAATAGCACTAGAAGTGTCATTTCTTTGGAAAATTCACAGGCTACAATTTTAATAACTTTTTAAAGATACATGTAAATGTATGATGTACATGCTACAGATCTGTTATCTGCTAAAATAAAAAATGTCAATGTGGAGACAGTTTGGAGGTTAGTAATAATTGATCTTCTCATTATTTTTCTTTTCGTTATTGATAATGTTCCATTTTAAATAGAACAGGAACAGGATTATCTGCAAAAAACTATAAAAAAAGGATGATAATAATACAAAATAAAATAACTTTAAATGGAATGGTACAACTTCAAGACTCACACTGCTTCATCGTTGTGTAGACTGATCCAGATGTCCTACTCTTCTGAAAAAGTTTTGTTAATTCTGCCAGGAACTGTGGGCAAAGAAAAGAAATAAAACAGTGAGAAGGCTTCTAGGCCTATAATAAATTAAAGATAAAGACCAGTTGTGGTCATGCGATTGCATTGTGAAATAAACGTTGTGGAATCGATCAGAAAAGGTTGATCATCTACATGTAACATGTAAGTATTGGTGTGTACTGCAAGGTTCTGGAATCATCAAGATGATAAGAAATTTGGCCCAGTCTTCATAAAGATACAAGCACTGTACACAGAAAGATGTATATGGTACTAAGCACACATACACATGCGCGACACGTGCGTTTATCTCTCACAGGACACAGTCCAATAGATAAACTAATTTACCAAATATATCAATTACATGTAGTAGATCTAGGCGGTTTCCCAGCAAAATTGTTATCATCATATATTATTCAAAACATTTTCTTTCACATGATTGGTAATAAAGAGCTTCCATTTCATTTTTTGAAATTGGGGCGTTTCAAATACTGGTCTTTACCTTTAATAATAATGTTGAAACCAGAGTTTTTTTACCAGACACATAAAATTACATGTCTATTTAGCTTTAAAACACTAACATAAGGTCGTGTTACTTGTGTACATAATTCAAAATTTCACAATGTAAAATGATTAATCAATTTGTTGTTGTTTATTAATATTAGATCTAGACCCTATAAATATTTTCATATTAATTCTCAACCCAATATCACAGAAAATTTAATCACAAGCCAAGGCAATTTACATTTTCATTGCCATTGGTTGTATTTACCAAATGTTGATGTTGTTGACACTCTTTAATTGCAAATTTAGGTCAAGGGAAAAATAATCACTTTTCTTTTGGCTTTGCCTTTGAATTTTGTTTTGTTCAAACGTGAACCTAAGTAATTAGATCTAGACTTCTATTACTAGAATAGACTAACAAAGCACGACCGACTGCCAGCGGGACAGTGGCCGCTCACTCCCCAGAACCTACGGGTAGATCTCCTGGTCAGCCGCCGCTTTCTCTACATACAGCAGTGTCACACTCACACGACAAGCATACATGACATATGTTACCAAAAATATGTTGATAAATCTGTGATACGTATGATCCAAACTCGGGCTGCCAATAAATTAATACTTACTTGATCATTATCAAGAAGCACCATGATGAGATTTTATTCAATTCCACGTACAAATGAGTTAAACTGAGAAGAAACAACGCTTTAATTGTCGTTTTGTGTGTGTGGCGTGTATTAAGGTGTCTTCAAAGGAGAGTTTAAAAGTGAAAAAAATTAGTTATCTCCCCTAGCCCTCTCCTCCATCTAATCTGCTTTCATCACAAAAAGGCTTATACATGCAAGGGGGCAGGGGCGTCGCTAGACCTTTTTCAGAGGGGGGGGGGGGGGGGATTGTGTAGAGGCCACCGATTACCGACAAAACTAGCCACCATTTACCGACAAATATATTTATGCCAATTTTTTTGCCAATGTCCCAATGTCTACAAATTGAACCTTATAAACCCGGGCCAGGATCGAGCTAAATTATTTTTCAGTTCCCCCCTCCCGCGCAAAGCGCAGAGGCTTTGACATTTCATTAAATTATTAGAGAAAGAAGACGGTTCGTTGTTCCGTTCCCCCGGTCCCCCCCCCCCCCCGCCCCGTTGGACCGCATGCGTGTTTCCCAAATCTCCGGCTCGTAACAAAGAAAAGATCTACCCGTATTGACTTTACACACCGGACTTATGCTGAAAGGAGGGGGGGGGGGTGGGGTGCTGGGAACACGCATATACGTACCCTAAACAACACTGATTGAGGGGGGCGGGACTATGACGTTTCATTTAATTATTAGAAAAAGAAGACGATTCGTTGTACCGTTCCCGACTCTTAATCCTTGTCTGAATTCAGTTTCCCCCCCCCCTCCCGCGCAAAGCGCGGGAGCTTTGACGTTTCATGAAATTATTAGAGAAAGAAGACGATTCGTTGTACTGTTTTCGACTTGTCTAAATTCAGTTTCCCCCACTTGGGGTTGAAGTTACGAATTCGATTTGTGTGGGAATTCACTCACCGAAGCACTTGTCGCAGGAACAAGTGTTAATATACCCCCCCCCCCCAAAAAAAAATAAATAAATAAATAAATAAAATAAATAAAAAAGAAGAAAAAAAAATGAAAAAAGAATTACGAGTCGAGTATCGGATCTGGATTAATATCTCGTACCTATCAAACATTCTTATAGTTGTGCTAACAATGGACTTGTTGACACATATTTTTCATTAAAATTATGCATGTTTCTCTCCCGAACCCTTTGGTTACCAAATATTTTATTCACCTGTTATGAACAATGACAAATCTATTCATGCAATTCTCTTTGCATACATGACTGTTGGTATGTCGGATAAGCCTCTGGCAAGCTTTTCATTGCTGTATGGTTAATATCATCCTACGGACATTCTGACGCATGTCGTGGGTCTGGAGAAATTGAATCGGAGGAAACTTAGGCTGTTATTGATGAGCATTTTTTAAAACCATCATCGACAAAGGGCAACACAACTTAAGTGATTGCTATCATGTCTTTTTTTCCTTTATGCCAGAGCTTGCCCGAGCCACATTATCGGTATGACTAATCGGGACTAATCTACACTTTACGGGAGGTTTGTTGATGGTCTGGGTCGGACAGCTGGCTTGTCGAGGCAAATACTAATTTTGATCTCATAGTTGTTCATGTACTACCAAGTACCAATTACATCTCAATCTGATAATAATGAACTTTATCATTCCTGAATACTTGCAGACAGAGGAATAATAATTGTGCAAGAAGTTTGGTGAAGGATTTCATCTAGTGGATCTCAAATGGATGAATATGTGTGCATAGCTCATGGAGTGAACTTTTTGGATCATATCCTGCATGCAAGCTCTTTGATCTGAACAGGGTGGACTGAACTGATGCCAAGACTGAACAATGAGATGTTGATGAGTAAGTGAAGATTTACAATACAGCAATATCACTTATGATCTTAATGAAGCTGTGAAATTTACTGAGAAAGGTCATGGGACTGGGTTTAGAGACAGGATTCTGTAAGCGCAATTCAGATAGGCAAATTTTATAGGGCCGCCCCCCCCCCCCCCTGGCACCTGACTTTATTCCGATCCTTATACCTATCTCGGCAAAAGTTACGGTTCCATATCAACAAGATTGCTGCGTTGTTTCCCTGTGAATTCCATGGAATTTTTGACTGTTAATTGATTGAGAGAATGTATGGCGTGTATAATGTTAGGTGGTTGATAAAACCTTTCTTTCATTTTTTTCGAAAATGTTCACGAATCTTTTTAAGTGAGTTGAAATAGCTAAGAAGATTGTTATTCCATCGATATTCGATAGCGTATACGTTCGTGCAGAAAAAAACTCATCAGAAGAAGAAAACAATGTCCATCAGATTCATCATAGCAATGCAACCTAGCCGAGCACCATGGACGTATATATATTTCGTAAGTTTGAATTATTACATTTTACAACTTTTTCACAATTTTATGAAAGATCTGTTCTTTGTTTTTCGTATCTTTTTAATTTAATTTTGGGTTCTTATTATCAGTAGAAAAGCATCGTGTTGTCGTCTACACGATAACGTATTTATCTTTTGTGTAAGGTAAGTTTTCCATCATCGTCGCTAAAACATAGCAATAATTATTCATGTGTACTTTTGTAATTTCTGTGTATTTTTTGTGAAACTTGTTATTTCATTTAATTAAGTCCCATATTGTTTTGAAACTATTTAGTAGGAAAAGGAGTTGTAGAATGGTTTTTCCTTTGGAACATTATAATATGCTAGCTATAGAAAATGAAGCAATAATCGGAGAGGGAATCACTATTAAATACTATTTTGTTTTCTTTTACAGAAGGCATCTTTATCGCCCGGGAATGAAACCCGAGTCCATTGCTTAGAAGACCAATGCATTCACCTCTATAGGCCATGGAAGACGGGGTAAGTAGTGATTTCGGTGACACCGCCTCAACTTCCAGATACATTGATCTCCAACCTTCCTTGTCGGGGCAGGCGAATATAATTGACATGTACGAATATAGGGCGTCACTAGAATTAAAAGTTTTAGTATTTTGAAAATTGAAAACTCATCGTGTGTATAATTTGGCATATGTACCATGGTTTGAGAGTGTGGAGGTGTACTTTCAGAGACCCTTGTCTGCTCAGTCACAAAGCTCCTTTGAATGCCCCCCCCCCCCCGCCCGGCTTGCAAAGAACCCCCGCCCCCCTGATATTCATTCAACTGTTTATCCGTCACTTGCACGGTCACCATCTATCAATTTATTGAGCACGTACAAATTCACTTGTCTAGCACTTACTTCGTTAAAAGAAAGAAAACTAAAGCGGGAGAAAATTCGGACCATCCCCCAAAATTAGACCTACCTACAATCGCTTGGAAACACTTAATTGTGATACCCCCCCCCCTCCCCCCTCCTCCTCCTCCTCCTCCGTCCCCTCTTCCGCTCCTTATGGCCCCGGGTTTTGATATTTTAAAGTCTTCACCCTTCTCAGATTTTAGCCTCCAGCTCCACATAAAAACAAGCAACACAATACACAGAACAAATCAACAGCAGCATCAAAGCGACAAAAAAAAAAAATTAAAAAAAATTAAAAAAATATCGAAAAAGAGACCGAGTCATCGATCATGAATATTCATATCCGATCATGACGTCAGCGCTCTGTCGACCCGAGCTAGATTGAAGAGGGTAGCCTCTAATCGGGCACATCTACAAGGAGGTCAATGAATATGCATATCAGTGACGTCGTGTCAATTCATAAATATTGATGTTCTTGACTGCGCGCGTACAATCGTACGTAAGTACGTACGTACGTACAGAATTGGGGTCATGTACAAGGCATGTACAATGAAGGTAATACGTGCAACACAGCGGTTCAGCCAGATTAGGGCAAAATCTTACCATTATACAGTTGTATTGTCCGTGATTAGTAGAAGTGTTTGAGTGTTAAGTAAATTTATTTAGTGTGGATTTTGATACATTTTTGATACAGTTTATACAAAATTGGCGATTCTTTTGATCGTTTTTTAACTCCTGCAAAAAACACGTGACCAACTCGGTCGTCGGCTAAACCACCTCCCTGTAGATGTGCCCGCCTACCTCTACTGTCTCTACATGTGCCCGATCGAGATAGGGATCGAGTTAGTGTAATAAAATAGTATTCTATATTCAATATCCGAGAGATAACGGATGTAACATTAAAGCTCCCTTATATATGAGTTTACAACTATCAATTCAACATCTTTGCATTGATTTTCTTTGAGGTAAACATGTTTAACGTTGTCAATACATCACCTCCCTGTAGATGTGCCCGCCTACCGCTACATGTGCCCGAGATAGGGGATATGTAGGAAGGCATACAACTTAGTGTTGTAGGCCTATATTGAATTTCCGACATGTCATGAATATAATAAAGCTTCCTAAGATACAAATGAGTTTCATAAATATCAATTTATCTTCTTTTCATTGATTTTCGTTGGATTTTACGTGTTTTAAGTTATCATAACATTCACCTCCCTGTAGATGTGCCCGCCTCCCGCTACATGTGCCCGAGATAGGGAAAATTAGTGAGGCATACAACTAGTGTTGTATATTGAATTTCCGTCATGTCATGGATATAATAAAGCTTCCTAAGATACAATTGAGTTTCACAAATATCAATTTATCTTCTTTTCATGGATTTTCTTTGGATTCTACGTGTTTTAAGTTGTCAAACAACCACCTCCCTGTAGATGTGCCCGCCTCCCGCTACATGTGCCCGAGCCATAGGGGTGTCGGTATAGGCATACAACTAGTGTTGTATATTGAATTTCCGTCATGTCATGGATATAATAAAGCTTCCAAAGATACAATTGAGTTTCACAAATATCAATTTATCTTCTTTTCATGGATTTTCTTTGGGTTATACGTGTTTTACGTTGTCAAACAACCACCTCCCTGTAGATGTGCCCGCCTCCCGCTACATATTTTGCCCGAGATAGGGGAAATGTAGTGAGGCATACAACCAGGGCGTAGACAACGGGGGGAATGAGGGGGATGCATCCCCCCACCTCACAAGGTGGGAGGGGGGGGGGTGGCATGTACAATCATCCCCCCCCCCAGGTTTTGGGGAATGATATTTGCTTACTTAATAAGTCATAATGATGATAATAATAGTAATAATAATAATGATAACAATTATAATATTAATAATAATAATAATTATGATGATAATAATAATCCTCAT